CGGCCTCTGATGCCAACGCTCCCCCCAGGGGACCCTCGCCGCGGGCAGAAGCCTGCACCCCTTCGGCTGATGCTTGGGTCCTTCAACCTCTGCCCTCCCAGCAACTAGCCACCAATGGGGGTCCCGGACTTCTCAGGAGCCGAGACTCGCATCTTTTGGGTATCTCTCAGCTGGGACCCCAGCCGTCCAAGCTCTCCGGCGGAGCCCCACCTCCTTCGCTGCTACGGACCACGGCCAGCCCGAGTCCATCGGACTCCCCAGACCTCTGCCTCCTTGTGCAAGGGGCTGGTAGGATCGGCTGGACAGCACGAGTCTAGGACTGTGAACCCCTCTAGGACACCAGGCTTTGGGTACTGGGACGCTTAAGGCTGTGCTGGACCGATAGTCGGGGTCCGGCCAGTGGCCCAGGGAGAGGAAAGGGCTCCGGGCGTGGCCTTAGCAGACCACCAGGCCAAACTGCCTGGGGCGAGGCCGTGGAGCCCGGGGACTGGCGCCAGAGTCGGCTGAAGGGAGACTCCCGGGGCATTGGCCTTATGTATATTTTTTTCCTCCTAGGGGTCCCCTTCGGGGAGAGGGAAGCGATGTTTTGAGCACTTTGTTCCTAAAGTCACCTGGAGTTTTTTCTTCACAACACCTCCATTCTAGCAAGGCAGTGAGCTCGGAGGCGGGCACACAAATCTAGGTCCCTCCCTGGGTATAAGACCTGAGACCTTAGCTCAGAAAGAGGCTTTCGAGTCAGATTTTAGGGCAATGTAGACAGGTGCGAGGGATTGGTCGAGCTCTACGCCCTCCATCTAGCCCCTCGGTCTTTGCAGAGCCCTAGACCTCCAGGGAATAATCCCAGAGGGGTCCCAGGTGGGTCCCGAGCAGAGGGATGGCTGGGGTCCCTGCCGCCCCCGAGGATGGGGGAGGGGCGGCAGGATTGACAGTCCGTAATTGGGTAACTGGAGGCGGCTTCTCCGGCCCAGCGGCCCCGCCACCGCGACGCCGGGCCCCTGACGTCACCCGATTCGCCAGGAAATGAACTTTTTAATAATCCAAGGAGGGAGGAAAGCCCTCGGTCCCCTCGGCTCGGGGGGCGCCCAGCCCGGCTCTGCTCCCCGGGGGCGCCCCATCACCCCCCTCCCACGTCCTCTGCGGACAGCTCTGAGGGGGCGCGCGCACCGCAGGGCCTCCTCCGGTCTCTGCGGCTGGGGTCCATCTGACTGTCTGAGGCTTTGGAACAGGTAAAGGCCCTGGGCCCGGGGTGCAGAACTGCACTGGGACGGAAACCCGCATCTTTCGCGCCCTGGGGGGTCCCTGCTGTTCACCGTGTTCCCTGCGCTTCAGCTCTCCAGATCCAGCAGGGGCCCAGGCGGCTGGGGAGTCTGCTGCCAGCCTAGGCGGGAGGTCGTACGTACGAGAGCGCGGGGGGCTGCAGGGGCTCAAGGCCGCAGTGCCTCGGGGCCGGCTGGGCAGGTGGGTGGTCTCTGTGCCACCAAGCTCGCGCTCCCACCTAGGACCCGCTCCCTCTCGGGACGGCTTTCTCGGCTTCTCCCCGCCTTTAGACCGCGATTCTTCATTAACGCGCAAAGCGAGATAGTCATGGAGTTCCAGAGTGTTCGATGTTCCTGGAACCTAGCAGGAGCATCTAAAGGCCTCGCAGCCTCGGCGATAACACTACTCTCGGCAACGGTGCCCCATGCGGCCGAATCCCAGGCCTCTGTTCTGCAGACTTCCAGGAGATCGCGGAGCACAGAGGAAGCTGCCCTGGCCGTCGGCGCCTAGGCTGGCAGGGCGGGGGTGGGGGGAGCTCCCAACACCACCCGCGAAAGCAGGTAATTCCCCTCTTTTCTCCCAAAGTCGCAATTAAAATTATCACCCTGTTTGAATGAGATTGGGGGTTGCGGTTTCCACGCCACGTCGCGGACAGGGCAGGTCCTGACTCTCGCAGAGGTGAAAGTGGTCAGCCCGGCGGGTCCCCACTCGAAACGCGAGCCCCAGTGTTGCCCACCCGCCTGGCGCAGAGCGGGGTGCAAAAGGGGATTTAATTACTCCGCTCGGCAGCTCAGAAAATCACCACGCAACAAGAGTTAAGCCGGGCGGTTAAGCGACGCTTGAGCCAGGGCCTCAAGAGACCCGCAACAGCATGCCTGCCCACAGACTGGGCATGGAGTTGGGGGGGTGGGTGTCCTGCCAGGTCCTTTGAGGCCCCGAGGCTGCCTTCTGGAAAGTGTAAGCAACCAGCCGGCTGGCCGGAGCCCCTGTCGAGGTTGGAGCTCCTGCGTCCGACGCGGGACTGCAGTTTTCCAGCAGGAACGAACCGGTCTGAAAGGGAAAATTGCCGGCTAGGTAGCAGAGCACTGAATTGGGGAATAAAAGGGAGCCTGCGCTGATGAACGCAGCCCTGGCATGTGAACCAGATGCATCCACAGCCGAGAACCCACTACTAGGCCGAAAATGAACCGCTCGCTAATAAAGCCCAAACAAACACCAGGGAGGGCCGATAGGGAATCCCAGCATGGCTTAGATTCGGTTTTCCCCAGCCCCCGCCGACCCCCAAAAACGAAAGCAGATTTATTACAGTTTACAGCGCCCTACTATGAGGTCCCCAGAACAGCTTCAGGTGGATACTGTCTTATTGCTGCTGTTATTTATTATGGAGCCACACCTGGACCTGCTCTTCTCTGAACTAAACTGTGCTCTGTGTTTTTCCTTCCTTGGGAACAAGATATCTAGGAGAATAGAGCTTGGCTTCCAAAGTGAATTTTCTAACCACCATTTGTGTGTGTGTGTGTGTGTGTGAGAGAGAGAGAGAGAGAGAGAGAGAGAGAGAGAGAGAGAGAGAGAGTTGGAATCTTCTGTAGAGAGGGGGGCAATCCAGGGGGTGTTTCTGAGTGGGAGGTGGGTTCCGTGGACCCAGGCCCTGTTCTGGGTGTGGCCCGGCTCCTGCAAATCAGTCTAAAAGAAGATGGAGTCATAAGGGCCCCCAGTTGGTGCTGCCCACCCCACTTGCCCTTTGTTTAAACTTTGCTCATCCAAGCCATACCTCTGGGATCACAAGTTTGCCCTCTCCTTGCAATCTAATTCTCTCATAAGGGCAGCTAAGTGGTCGGCTAGCTTAAGACTGCCTTCAGAACCCAAGTCATTCACAATCCAGAGGCCTCCAGCCCTACTTAGCCACAAGCTTTGAGGGGCACTGGGAAGGAAGTGGAGAAGCTTTGGCCACTATGGCTCAGTGTCCACTCTGTGGAGAAGTCAGAGATGTCCTAGGCAGCACCCATCAATTCAGAAGGGCTCTAACAATACCTCTTGCTCTCTGGGATTCCCTTCCAGCTTCTCAAATCAAAAGATTCCCTTCCCTAGCATCTGCCATCTTACTCTGGGTCTTTTGGAAATAACAGACACTGCTACCCAGTGTCTTAGGTGACTGGCTCGCTGGTGCCAGGTGCCTTGGACTCTGAAATTTCTGGGCAACTTCTAGCCTTCATACCCCACTCACAGACAATCCCCCCGATTGTCTTCGCCAACAGTTATGCTTTGCTCAGAGGCCTGGGGGTCAGCGGCTTGACAACTGCTAAATGCATTTCGTTAGATGCAATTTGTTTGCAATTTGTCAACCCGGCTGGGAAACGCTCTCCAGACGCCTGGCTCTACCTGGTTCCTGGATCCTGCCTGCTTATAAACGAATCCCGACTTGGGCCTCAGTGTAGACCCAGAACTTAACCCCCAGATGTTGCCCACCTTGGGAGGCAAGTTTTTTTCCCCCCCAAAACAAACGAATTTCTTTCCTTGTTTTCTGGTAAAGGAGCAGCCGCCACACAGGAGGCCCTTCTGAACACAAGACCTTTCCCCTCACCGCTGGGGTAAGCTGAGTTCAAGCCCGGCTGCCACCAAACGGTTCAATGCTCGGCGTCCAGACAGGCCCAGTGCTCTGTCTACGCCTATCCACAGCAGATCTCCAAGCCTGCGTTCGCTTCGTTCTTATTGAAATCCCACTGAAAGGATTCTGGCTCCGATTTGGGCAGGGGAAGACTTACACACCCTGCTCTCTCCCCCACCTGCACCCTCGCCACACAGGATAAAGGGCCGCGGGGCGCTTC